TTTGCGGGCGCTCGCCGTTAGCGGGGCTAATCCACCCCACAGGGCCGCGTCGAGGGCCCACTCGGCGCGAGGAAAGGAGCAAAGGCCGCTTAGTGCCGGTTTTGTGTTTGCTCATTGTTGTGGAAATATGAGAACTGGTGGCAAGGGCCTCGTCTATTGAGCTCTCGAGTCCCGGTCTGCTGTCAGGGGCTGTTTGAGATTGAGTGTTTTATTTTCTTTGATGTTCACGTCGTCGTCGGGGAGGAACGGGGAAGTGGGAATTAAACAACAGATGCATTAAGCCGTTGTTGTGGTAAAACAATAATTAGCACCTGATAAAATTCAATGTGGGTTAAAATGTTCAGCACCAGGGCTGGGTTCTGCTCGGGCTCCGTCCATCGTCCACTCCGGACGCGGTCAGTGACACAGTGACACGATTTTGGGGACAATGACAAAGGTGTTGGCAGGTGGGGACACGGCCTCGCCCCGTGCTCGGTGGCACTGTCCCCTGCAAGAGACACCTTTTGTGCCAGGACATGGAAATGCAKCCAGGTCAGACCTGGAAATTTATTATTATTTATTAGGAAATTTATTATTTATTAGGAAATAAATGCGATTTTATTTTAATGTGTTTCATCACGCTGCCATAGTGCCTGGGTACCATGAGGGCTTTTCTTTAAACCAGCACCATTCGTGGTTATGTTCTTTTATATAAATAAGGAAAATCAAGGATTTGGCAGCAGTTGTGTCTGGCTCTGCTCTCCTCCATAGCAAACCTCTCTGCTTCGTTTGAGGAGCAGTGTTTAGTAGAAATTATTAATCACAATTTTTGTGGTTTCACGAAAGAAGATACAGACAATAATCCCGAGCTGATGTGAGGTAAGGAAGCTCCTGGTTAAACACATCTGTTTTTGGACAGTCACCCCTGCTGGGGTGTACCCTGCTCTGTAATGGTGAGCAGAATTACCCAAATTGGAGGAGAATTACCCAAATTGGAGCAGGATTACCCAAATTGGAGCAGAATTACCCAAATTGGAGCAGGACTGCCCAAATTGGAGCAGGATCACCCAAATTGGAGCAGGATTACCCAAATTGGAGCAGAATTACCCAAATTGGAGCAGGATTACCCAAATTGGAGCAGGATCACCCAAATTGGAGCAGGATCACCCAAATTGGAGCAG